AATTTCACTATAGTTGCCAGCAGTCGACGTTCTTATGCTCCAATATCCTGTCTGAATTGAGCCAGTTGAGAATGACATTGAACGTTGTGGCCTGCTTTAGTGAAATCACCATTTATGACGTGGATTTCACAACATTGAGAGGTACCGTGAAGGCTATTGCATTCTGGCATAAGTTACAGAGAAGGACCACGTTATTCCTTTAAAGTCACAACCTTGGGCGTGCCATGATAGATTCGAGAACGTCAGATTTATTTTCATGAGTGGTTTTTTAGTTTGCTCCGTTTCGTCCTTCCTTCACCGCACGCCAGTGATCTGTCCGAAGACTTAAGGGATCGGACGCGGGGTTTGGCATAACGTGTCACGAACATGCTCGGAAGTAGTAAAGGACTCATTCAGATAAATGCAGGCCATGCGTCAGTGGTGTCTCCGTCCTAATGCAATACACCTGACATTAATCTCGTTTGGTGGAGGTATGGGGAAACGGTACGTTATTATTCAAATCGGTTGAGGCATAACAGTCCAAGCATCGAGCGCATCGGTTGATAGAACTCAACAGCCCATTTGAGCGTGCCAACCATGCCTGGTTCGCGTACGACGGGACTATTTTTCATACACACAAGAAAGAGGCGGCTGGAGTTCCATCTGAGTAGGAGTGTGGTAAAGGCCGCAATGAAAAGGAACCATTGCAATCTGGCTCTTTTGGCCTTAACTACTTATCGAGTATTTCTTTAAATTGACGTGGTTCGCTGTAGATCAGTAAGGCGAAAATATAGCCTTCATTTGGACTCAGTTTTTGCTAGCATTTTCGCTATAGACGCACACTCCCCAATTTATGACCACCTGCTTTTTTTCCAATTGAACTCTACTTATACCCATTCTCTTTGTCTTCCAGTGTGGCTGAAAAATGGCAAGTCTCAAGTCTAGCACTTATGTGCGAAGGCAGCCGACACAGGCCAGTGCCGCCGGTAAGAATTTATTTCGTTGATGATATTTTAGAAAATCTTATTATCCCTGCTTAGTATAATTGTGTTTGCAAGTTTTTACATGGCACTTGAAAAAATCCATAGTTGCATTCAGTGGCAGTTTCTCCTCTGTCGTGCATTCTACCGTAAAGTTAGTGCGTGCCTATCAAGCCCGATGACAGAGCATATAGGGACGACCTGGCACGCATAAAAACGTACACAGTTGAATGCTGTTAGAAAGCATGCGAGCCGGTGAAATACTTGCCCCTTTTAGCGGCCATAATCGCCCCTAGTTTTACTGCTTTCTAAAAGGTTTTAACCTAGTGTGTTAACTACAGCTGCTGGTTGGATCAAGCACACAGGACAGTTAGACTGTTGTTTCCGCTGATCTCCGCCGTGTGCCTGACAACATGGAGGATGTGGGGACGGTGAATTGTGCGGAAAGTATTTTCTTGTGCTAGTAGAATTGCGCAGCATCTTCACACTCTTTCCCCTATCTCACCTCAGTCCGGTGTCATAACAGAGCGAAAAAGACCACAGGCCGCATCGGGCGTAGGTGTCTGATGTTGCGTAAGCCTGTGCCCAGGCGTGCCTATACATCCCCATCTCTGGAATTTCTTGCGGGCACGCATACCTTATAACGCTTACCGTGCCTTGATCTGGTCCAGCACATCTGCCGCATGGTCCATCGCATATTTCCTTGGACGCAACCACATAAATGGGAGCACACATCCTGCTATTAATCTATCTTCAGGGCAAGCAACAGGGTGATGAACATTTATTTCCAAGTTCTCATGGGGCTAGTGTAAGGATTCTTTGTGTCATCCGTCTCTAACCCGGAAGACAGAATCTGAATTTGGATAACTAAGTCGTAAACAACCCATTTCATTCGTGAC